TTAAATATTATTTTTTTTTAAAAAAAAATGTTAACACAAATAATATACTCTTATAAAAAGTGTGTATTTTCTTTTGTCTAGTTTAAAGCTTTTATTTTAGGTTCATAGGTACATGTGCAGGTTTGTGATGTAGGTAAACCTTGTGTCACAGGGGTTTATTGTACAGATAATTTCATCACCCAGGTACTAATACCCAGTAGTTATTTTTTCTGCTCCTCTCCCTTCTCCCACCCTCCACCCTCAAGTAGGCCCCAGTGTCTACTGTTCCCCTCTTTGTGCCCATGAGTTCTCGTCATTTAGCTCCCACTTATAAGAACATGCAGTATTTGGTTAGTTTGCTAAGGATAATTAATGACCTCTAGCGCCATCCATGTTCCTGCAAAAGACATGATCTTGTTCTTTGTTATGGCTGCATAGTACTCCATGGTATATACATGTATTACATTTTCTTTATCCAGTCTGTCATTGATGGGCATTTGGGTTGATTCCATGTCTTTGCTATTGTGAATAGTGCTACAATGAACATTTGCATACATGTGTCTTTATGAAAAGAGTGTCTTCTACAACAACAAAAAATTTAGGGAAAAGAATAGCACTGTTGTACATTTTTTCAAATCTTTTTAGCATCTGGCTTAATATAAAATGACTGGATTCACAGCTCTGCTTCCATCATCAACCTGTTGGGATCTCACACCTCATGTAGACGCTGGTATCTCCACCCTACATTCACAAGAGAATGAGTGAGAAGGAGAAGTGACATCTTAGTATTATGATGAAGATAGTTTTGACGTCATGGGCCCCCTATAAGTGTCTCAGGAATAACCAGGGGCACCCAGACCACACTTCGAGAATGGCTAGTCCTGGAGGTGTGGAATATAAATGTGTGGTTTCCCATATCCCCAGGGACCTGGCTCCACTTCTCTAACTTCAAAAGTTTGTAGAGGGAGAACAAGAGTCTTCATGAGTGTTGAGTGCCGGAATCCAGGGGTGGGGCTGCTACCTCTTCCCCGGGCAGACTGAGTTCCAAGTGTGCCTTTCTCATCACGGCAACAGATGTGCATGTCATTGGCCCAGCCGCACAGACAGGCCCGGACATGCAGCCGCAATGGGGCATGAGTCAAAGTGTAGCCATTGCTGGGCACTGAAAGAAGAACTTATATGCTCAAGTGGTTATTTTACAGAATACACGGGGAAATGTGCCTTTACCCAAACTGGTGTAGAAACAATAACAAAAAAAAAATATCTGAGGTCTATTAGAGAAGAACTCTTATCAATGTGTCTTGATATCAGATCAGACAAAGCTCAACTGACACCGGTCCTTGCTATCTTTGCATAGCCCACGACTGTGTAAATCAGCAGTTAATTTCTGCCAGAGTGATATGTGTTGCAGACTTCACAATCTGTCCAGGCACAAATGGTAATTTTTTACAAAGTACTCGGCAGTCAATTTTAAATAAAGATATTATCTCGGGAAAGTTGTGCATTATTACAGTTAAACTTCCCCAGCCACTTGAAAGAAATGAAATATTGATTATTTTTGCAAGAATCTTAATGTAACATTGCTCTTTTCTTAAATCTAAAATGAGCTTCCTACAGTACAGTGGTTTTCATCTAAGAACCTCTATAAATGTTAATGCATTATTCCTCACTCAAGCCACTTATTCAGTTATTAGATTTCTAAAACTGTGCCCTTCAGGAGAAGAGCTTGAGAGAACAGGGACAATAAAATGGCATTAATTAAAAACACTAACATTTAAAACAGCAGGAGCAATAATAAAGTAACATAAAATTGTTCAAGAAGAAAATAATGCCCTTCTTCAGGCTTCTCCTCAGAACAGGGCAGCGAAAAGGTTGTTTTATGTCCTGAATCTCAATACTTGGGGCAGGGGTGGCAGGGAGGTAACAGTGGCTTGAAAGAGAGAGGATGTCCAGGCGCAGTGGCTCACACATGTAATCCCAGAACTTTAGGAGGCTGAGGTGGGTAGATCACCTGAGGTCAGGAGTTCGAGACCAGCCTGGCCAACATGGTAAAACCCCTTCCCTACTATAAAAATACAAAAATTAGCAGGGCATGGTGACACGTGCCTGTAATCCCAGCTACTCAGGGGGCTGAGACACAAGAATTGCTTGAACCTGGGAGGCAGCAGTTACAGTGAGCCAAGATCACACCATTGGGCTCCAGCTTAAGTGACAGAGCAAGACTCCATCTCAAGAAAAATTTAAAGAGAGAGAGAGAGAAGGAGGGTTCATAAACAGGAGGCTTCCCAAGGTCACGTGGAAGGTTATATAATGACTTGCAACCATTCCCCTGCCTCTCACGACACCACACAGCTCTAAGTCTTCCCCCACTGTGAACATGTGATGGGAAAGTGCTCATTCCCCAGCACCCCCGCCCCCAGGTATAAAGTTGGCATCCGGGAGCAGAAGCGCACCTGCTGTAAGCGCATCAAGCCTTTGCCACCCTGTGGATAGCAAGCTTTTTTTCCTGCCATCCTGCATATGGGGAAACACCACCAGGGACTAGGCATGATTTCCCCAAGATCATGCAACAAGCCAGTGCCAGGGAGCCACAGGCTGCTCAGAACGGGCTGCTTCCCCAAGCAGCGACATGCAGGGACACAACTACACCCATGATGTCTTGCAGCTGAGGCAGGCCTGCAAGCTGAACCAGCCTGCCCTTCCAGTCACCCCGTGCGAGGCAGGAGCCCCTTTTTAGAAAATGGATGATGTTTGTATCTCCCGATCTTGGGGCCCTGGGGATTGGGAACAGCCCTTGGAGGCTTACCCAGGAAGCTCAATGACTGAGCTGCAACTGTTATTTATGTGCCAAATCCCCCAGTGGGGATTCCAGCCTCTAGGTCTCTGGATGTTGGGGCACTGTGTGCATTCGAGAAGGCTCCAGACTTTCTCCCCTCAATGTGGTGCTTTCAGCCTTTGCCTGGCCTGGACTGCCCAGGCCTGCACGCTCTGCCGCCTTTACTCAGTCTCCTGGATCAGAAGCCCAATGGCCCCTGGGCCCTGAACTCCTGTAGGGACCTGTGATGGGGCCGGAGGCCAACACAAATGAGATTGGCTCCAAGGCACAGTGAGTTGGGTTCCTTCCTGTCTGACAACCATAGCTGTGTGCTGGTCTTAGCGCCCACCGCACTTACCCACGACTCCTAACACCCACCTCGATCGTGTTCAGATCCAAATGCAAACATATTCTCCAGTGGTTTGGCATCCCATGTAAGCCTAACCTCACAGAGCTGAGCATGTTGCACAATAAAGCTCACAGATCAGGCAAGAATGTGCTGTCACAGGCAGAGAGACGCCTTCTTACCCGTGCATATGCGGAACTGGGGTCCTGTCCTGGCCCTGAGGCAACTGACTGAGAGCTCTGACCAAGGCCTCATAGTCCCTGTAGTAGGATGGCGTGGTCCCTAGGGTCCTTTCCTAGTGTGACTTCCTATTCATTCAACAATGCAGCTCCAGTGTCGCTACCCACCTCTGGGGCACTTACGCTACTAATACAATAGTACACCAAGGGTCTTCCATGCTTCACCCAGTATTGATACCTATGAGTGCCTGATGAGCTGTGTACTATTATTACTTCCTTTTTTTTTTTTTTTTAGACGGAGTTTCACTCTTGTTGCCCAGGAGGCTGGAGTGCCATGGCACAATCTCAGCTCACTGCAACCTCTGCCTCCTGGGTTCAAGCGATTCTCCTATCTCAGCCTCCTGAGTAGCTGGGATTACAGGCATCTGCTACTATGCCTGGCTAATTTTTGGTATTTTTAGTAGAGATGTGGTTTCACCATGTTAGCCAGGCTGGTCTCAAACTCCTGACCCCAGGTGATCCCCCCTCCTCAGCCTCCCAAAGTTCTGGGATTACAGGCATGAGCCACCATGCCCAGCCTATTACTTCCATTTTATACGGAAGGAAACAGACTCGGAGGGGTGAACTAATAAGCCAGAGAGTCAGGACTTGAACCCAGGCAGCTAGCCTCTAATCCCCACTCTGGGGAGCCTCAGGCTGTCCTGCCAGCAGATGGCCAGTGTGGCTTCCTGGGTGGGTCCCCTGCTAGCAGAAGCTTGCTCCATGCTCAGGGCCACCCTCCATTCTGCACTCCTAAGGCATACCAAATCCCACTCAGGCTCCTGTGGGGGTCCCCTCCCCATGCAAAGTCCCTCTTAGCTGTGTCACTCCACAGCTGAGAAGCTCTGTTCCAGCCAAATGCGGGGCCTGGGCTGGGCCAAGCTGTTTGCATTTTTCTCAATTCAGGAAAAGGGTGGCAGCTGCGCAAAGCCGGTTTTTTTCCTTGTTGTTTTTGTTGTATTTAATTCAACTGGCTAAGCCTAGCCCTTATTAAACAAGAAGTGCTTTAAAAACAAAAACAAAATTAAGGCCCAGCTCCCAGAGCTTCTGAGGGAGTTGCTTTGTTCAGAGCAGCAGGATCCAGGGCTTCAGGGGAAAGAACAGGACTCAGCCTGTCACCCCAGCTCCCGCAGCGCCCACGCCTGCAGGCACACGGCAAGGGCGGCACCAGCCTGGCAAGCCTGGTACAGAGGGCAGAGGCCTGGCCCCCAGGGTGAACAGGCACAATTGTGGGAGAGGGCTGGGGTGAGACAGAAAGGGAGAATGGAGGACAGGGGTGGGGCAGGAAGGAGCAGCAGAGGAGGAGTGTCTGACCTGCATTTGTCCTTTCTCTCGGCAGCAGCAGCGAGGAGAGCCCTAAGAAGGACACAGAGCCGGGGAGCAGCCCCTGTTCCCCTGAACTGCAGGGCAGCAGCAGGCGTGCATCTCCCCCAGAGTTCTGTGTGCTGGGCCACGGGCTGCAACCAGAGCCTCGTGCCGGCCACATCCAGGACAAATCCCAGCCAGAGGCGCAGCCCCAGCAAGAGGAGGTGTCCTGACAGGCTGACGAGGGGGCCACACTCACACAGTCACCCCAGAAGGCCAAGTGTGACAGCCAAGTGTCCCACCTGACCCAGAGATGGTGGGCAAACCAAACTCCTACCGAGGTGTCCTGGAAAGGCCTGGAAGGTGCACTGCCCAGCGGGTCTGCTGAATTTTAAACAAACGCCGTTTTCAGTCCCAGATCCTGCTCCGCCTTGGGGTTCAAAGGTTAACCAGAACTTTAGACCCCACAATGACAGTATTTAATCCTTCAAGTGCTGGCCTTAATTTTGGGGTGGGGTGGGGAGTGGAGAATGTATTTGTTGCATGCTTGATAGGGTTTTAACTGGGTTCGTTCCTTGAGATCACTGAAGCCTCACAACGGTGAATGAAGCAGATAGCATTCTCCAGTTTTGCGCACATGAAAACCGAAGGTGTGGGAAGAGGCCCCCTCAAGTGTTTTGCTCAAGGTCATACAGCTAAGAAGAGAATAGAGCAAAATTTTGCACAGATGAGTCTGGTGCTAGAATCTCTCTGCTCTTTTTATTACATTCCATTGCCCATAAGTATTGCGTCACTCCACCTGCCTAAAGCAGACATGGGTGCGCAAATGGTCGGAAAGCTTCTTTGTTGTAAGGTTAAGTCGTGGCACAGCATTGAAGCCCCTATTGAGAGCTTTGTTCAGAAGCGCGTGGCTCCCAAAATGAGAAGGCTGAGTGAGCTGGGATTAAAACACACAGCCCCACCTGTCCTCTGTCCTCTCCTCCTTCCCAAGCTCAGTTTCAATGCTTTAAACCTAAAGCTGACAGCTCACAATACCAGCCACGCTGCCTCTCGGCCTAAGCATGTAGCAAATGCTCTCACTGCCCTACACATTACGTGCTTCTCGACTGAGTAGGGTAAACTAAGCCGCCCAAACAAGGCAGCCCATTCTCTACACGCCGTGGGCGCTGGAGCGCAGAAGATAGCGTGGGTAAGGCATACGCAGTCACACGCCGATCTCCCCTCAGAGGCTTCTTGGCCACCTTTATTCCCAGGTCATCTTGCAAGAACTTCTGCTGGAGTTGAAATCAAAGTGAAAAACAGTTGTTCATGCCAAAAACCTGCTTCTGCCAATGAGCTAGATATTTGCTGCCAATCTTGGAATGTTTCCATTGGAGGCTGTGGTGTACATTCTGTTTAGAAAGGATTTTGCAGTAACTGAGTGATTCAATGCCGGCTCAATGGGTTGGCAAAAGACAAGAATTCTTATCCACTGCAGTACAGCTAAGGGACGATCCTCCAGATCTGCTGCAAAGCTGATTTTTAAAGTTTGGGGAAATTACAGACCTCAAACCCATTCTTGCTGAGATTGTGGGCTCAAAAACTTGTGAAACTATGTCCCTAGGGACTCCAGCTACCTCCCCCAGAGAGAGGCTATGACTCTGAGTAAATGAATCCCACCTCGACTTGTCCAGTTATTATTCAAAGGCACCCAAAGAACAGCTGATTAAACTACCAAGAGGGGCCACAACCCACCCCTCTGCTGGAAATGCACACGCAGCTCTGCTCACGTTTGCTCCTGTTGTCGCCCTCATCTCAGAGAAGTGCTCAGGCAGTGCCCAGGCCAGCAATTCTAGAGCCAAGCCACACCCACTGCTGGGTGGACACTTAGGAGCTGCCTGGGCTGCAGGCAATGAGGGAAGCCCAGCCACCCAGGCAGGGCAGGGGCCGAGGTAAACACATGAGAATGGACCAGGCTCAGGAAACTTGCCCAACAGATATCTGGACATTCTCCCTAAATGGTTGGGCAGACCACTGGGTGACCATGGGGTGAGCCTTAGGAAAGCTGGGCACTGAGCTGAGGAGACATACAGTGTGGGCAGCCTTTGAGGTTAGCGCCCAGGTAAGTGGCTTCCGGTGGGACTGCTCAGAAAGTGGGCCCTGCCTGAGCTAGGATTTAGGGGCAGGATTCCTGGAGGTCTGAGGAAACAAAGCTGTTCCCCAGCTGCAGGGAGGCTGGAATGGGACACAGTGGGTGAAACTGGGATACCATGAGGGGGTGTAACCACAGGAATTAGAAACATTTTAGTTACTGGAACCAGGATATGAAGTGGAGCCAGACCAGCAGTGAGGGGAAGCAAGGCTGAGTCTCCAGCCCAGGCCTCCTTCCGTAAAGGGCCTCATCTTAAAAGTCCAGGGCTGGGTAGAAAGTGGAAAGGGTGGCCAGGTGCCCCCTGCGGTGGCCGTGCAAGCTAGTGGGGGCAGCAAGGAGCCAGGCAGAGTATTCCACCACTGAAGGGGTCAGTGTCATGGAGAACACACAGGAGGGGTCCCGAATGAACAACTGTGCTTTCCGTGAGCATGCATGGCAGGAATCTACACTTTTTCTTCATAGAGTTAGAAATCAAGGACCGTCAGGGATACAGAGAAGGAGGAACCCACCACAGATCCATCTAAGGGGTGCACGTCATACCCATCTTCTTACTCGGGCCAGCTCCACCCTGGAGGAGCACAGCTTTCATCCTCCCAACCATGGAGACCCCAGAGCTGTGGAGAGGGAGGTACTGAGCCTAGCCCTTTACCCAACACTTTAATGACACTGTAAACAGCTCCACCCCAGGGAAAAAAAAAAAACACAATTTTCTGCTTCCATCAAAAGGATTCATGGAGGAAAAAAAAAAGAAAGTAAACATCATATTCTGGCAGAACAGTGATAGTTTTTTGCAAGTATAAACATAATCTTCAAAATGAAATACAACCTCCCTCCGCGGCTGGGGTCTGAGCTGCTGTTGACTCTAAGCAGTATCTATCTTCCTTCCTCACATTGTATGCCCAGTTCAGAGCCTAAAATAATCCATGTTGAAAGGAAACACAGGGCACACAGACCAAGGAGACTTTTCTTTCATTGTGAAGGGCCTAGGATTGACAAGACTTGCCTCATAAACCTTACAATGTGAATGAAAGGGATTTTGAGAAATACATTCTTTTTCTGAAATAAACCAGTGGTTTGCATGTATCAGAGGAGCCGCTGCAGTGAATTATAAGTGCTGACGTGTTTGTCAATCGATCATCTGGTTGATGGCTTACAGGCTACTAAAGCACCCACTCTATTCTTTCAAAGGAAGTCTTTTCAAAGGTAATATATTTTTAAGTAGCCCCACATCAAAGATTCAGTCGAACTGCCATAAAGTACACGTGTTCTGGGCCTATATTAACAGAACATGTTATACTGCACTATCGTCTACTCCCCGTGCCTACCTGAGGTTTAAATAAAGCTCCATCAATCCATCCAGACGTTTTTATGAAATGTAATTAAAAATGCATCGCACAAGAAGAGGAGCAAACAGTTAATTCACTCAGCACTCTAATTCAACTTTATGGAGGACCCTGGACACTGCAGGCTTGATTGCACTCCTGGACTTCAGAAAGTAACTTTGTGAATAGTCCGTGGGCCCTGCATCAGGTGGCTCTAGGATTCCACTGACCTAGTCACCCGCTTCTGAACGCTGTCATTCCAGACACCCTTGAAGTCTAGCACAGGAGACAGCAATCGGTTTTGACTGGAGTGATAGCACTGGCAGGGCTCAGTTAATGCCCATAGATAAAGCTGATTGGCCTAAACTGGAGGAAAAAGAAAAAGAGGAGGAAGACAGCAGGAGGGGAAAGAAACAAGGGGTAGGGTAAATGGGCCACTCATTCTCAGGAACTGGAGAGTATCATGCTCCTGAGGGTTGAATTTACAACACCAGAGCCTGAGTTCTGACACCTCCATTCCCTGGCTCTGTGACCTGGCATCTCTGGGCCCATGTCTTCATCTGCAAAGCAGTGATAATGTCAGCCTACTTATCCCACCATCTGCACGACAGGGGCAAACGTGTCTTTTCTAAGGCATCTTTTTGAGCCATCTTGGGGAACGGAACTCATAATCCTGGCCATTTTGGTCTTTAATATTCATCTCTGCTGCCTCCGCACTTTAAGATCCCGATTGAGAAAAGAAGCCAGTATCATTTCCCCCTCATTTCTGAGTTGCGCTTTGATCTTTGGAGAAACTTAAAAACAGCTGTCAAACTCAGCAAGAATTGACTTCCTTCTTTGAAGGTTTTCATGTCTTTCAAAGTGAAGAGAAAAGACTTTACAACATTTGCTTGCAATCGCAAGTACCTATGTCAAATATATCACATGGAAAAAAACAAATTAAGCCTCTGGATCTCTCGTCTTTCCCATGTTGAGTCATGAGGCTGTCAGTCAGTCAGATAGATGGCCAGCAATTACTCTGAACACTGCTAAACAGCAGGCTTTGCATGAAGTGTGGGATGAGGCTACAGTTAATGACAATTCTACCTTTCTTTGTATGTAACGCTCTACTTTTTCAAAATGCGATTATCTACATTGTTTCATTAAATCTTTAGGGGAAAAAAGACTCTATGAGATGGACAAAGCAAATGTTTTTTCAATACCTTTTACACATGAGAAAAATATTTCACTCCAAAGACACATTGCCAGTGAGGGCAGAGCAGGCCTCTTACCCTGGCCAGCCTTCCTCCTGATACCTGGAAAGCAGGATCTAGATTATTCCAGAGAGGCAGTACTGGAAGGAGACAGCATACCTTTCTGTGGAAGAAATTCTCCATTTTCTCCAACATTTTCAAATAGGAAATTATTTTTCTTTTTAAAGTTACAGGGTCTCACTCAGTGTCACCCAGGCTGGAGTGAAGTGACACAATCATAGCTCACTGTAGTTCACTGCAGCCTCGAACTCGTAAGCTCAGTCTCCTGATTAGCTGGGACTACAGACATGCACCACCATGCCCAGTTACGATTTTTTTATTTTTTGTAGAGATGGGGTCTTGCTCTGTTGCCCAGGCTGGTCTCAAACTCCCAGACTCAAGCAATCCTCCCACCTCAGCCTCTCAAAGTGCTGGGATTACAGGTGTGAGCTGCCACACCTAGCCCAGGAAATTACTTTTCATATCTAACCAAAGTTCAGCTGAAATCCTAGCCATTCCTCAAACTAGCTTGGATGAAAACTCAAAACAAGGTCTCCAAGAGTTTTTAAATTCCCTCTGAGAACCTCGACCACTCCCATCATTTTCCAGCCACACACACACACACACACACAAACTGCTGCTAGCATTAAGAAAAAAAGAAAAGTATCTTCCAAAAATCTTTGCTTCTCATTGCCATGAACCCTGAAGTGGGCTTCCAGATGAAAACTGGTGGGAGCAGACGTGGCCTCCTTCTGGAGACAGGTCTTTATTGCCAGGGCCCCACAGCGGTAAAAACCAGCGGATGAGACAGAAAAGAATATAGACCCTGGGAAACAAATTGCCTTCATGAAAATTATTTATCTAGCAATTTTTTTTTCCCTCCTTTGGAAGGGGACAGGATTGGCTGTGTTTACAAAACCTGGTGACATTTTAAAGTGATTGTTTAGTTAACGGCTTCTGACATCAGCTGCAGAAGTGCTGGATCACTTTAAGGATGTAAAAATTCTCAAGGAGAACCCAAGGTGATGCTAACAACAGCTGTCAACCCACAGAGAGATAATTATAAAGATGTGATTAAAACAAAGCAAAGCCTTCAAATGTTACAGCCAGCTTCACTGAAACACCAGGGGACGGGATATGGCGAAACCAGCACGCCCCCTGAATAAACCCCAGTAATGATAAGGACAAAACCTGAGCCCCCAAGAGGTCCCTGACTCAGAAACACCCACCAGGGAGCACCCGTGCACACAGGGATGCTGCCGTGCTGTCTGGAACCCAGCTGGGAGCAGGCAGTTAGGACGCTGCTTCCCAGGCTGCCTGCTCTTCAGAATCAGCTGCTTGATAATTTGCAGATTCCCAGGCCTTCCCCCCAGTAAAAGATCTACAGCTGAGACTGAGTCTGAGTTTTTAAAAAGCACTTGTTCCTGTTTCTCTCTCCCCATCTCCTCAAGCAATTCTTTTCATCAACCACATTTGGTAAAGACTCATTGAGGGAAACTGACTCCCAGGTGTGGGCTAGCCTGGGAACCTAATAACCACTGAAA